CCACGTGATTTAGCTTCCTCTTCAGCTGCTTTCTCTTCAGTTTGCTCTCTTCAGCTGTTCCTCTTCATTGCTTCCTTTCAGCGCTTTCCTCTTCAAGCGCTTCTCTCCAGCATTCTATTCAGCTTGCTTCTCTTCATTCTTGCTTCTCTTCATTGCTTCTCTTCAGCTGATTCTCTTCAGCTGAATCCTCTTCAGCTGATTCCTCTTCAGCTGATTCTCTTCATGCTGATTCTCTTCAGCTGATTCGCTCTCAGCTGATTCCTCTTCAGCTATTCCTCTTCAGCGATTCCTCTTCAGCTGATTCTCTTCAAGTGATTCCTCTTCAGCTGATGTCCTCTTTTCGCCTGATTCCTCTTCAGCTCCTTCTCTTCAGCTGTTTCCTCTTTAGCTCCTTCTCTCCTTTTCTGCATCGTCTTCATCTTCTCCTCTGCATCTGCACGCGTCTCCTATTGGGTTTTCTCTTCATCTGCTTCTTCTCCGATTATCTCCTGCTTCTTTATATATTCCTTCTACTCTGCTTTTTTCTTCTTTTTATTCTTCCAGTCATGTTTCTTCATCTTGGCTTCTTCAACGTCTGTTTCTTCATTTGGCATTTTCTTTTACCTTTTTCTCTTCATCATGTGCTAATTTTTCCTTTTTGTGCTTCCTCTTCATCTTGTTCTCCCTTAATCTTGTGATTCTCTTTCACTTTTCTTCTTCTCTTCCTTCTCCTTTTCTTTTTTCTGTGTTTCCTCTTTATCTTTTGGTTCTTCATCTTCGCCTTTCTTTACATATTCGCATCTTATACTCCTTCATCTTCGGCTTCTTTCTTTTACTGGGATTAACGTAATGGGCCAGCAGCATACACTTCCCATGGCTGTGGGCCTGGATTCCAACCTCAGCCAAACCATGTGATGTTATGGTGGTCAAGCGAGTTCTCGGACAGGTTCAGTCCTCTTATCAGATACTTTTCTGCAAATCGCCGATTTCTTCTTCATTTACGTTTGGTTCTTCGTCTTTCCAGTTTCTTTTCATCTTTGCTTCATCGGGGGGCTTTTCTTTTCATGGAACTTTTCGGGGGTTTCTAACACGTGTCTAACACACAGCGTTTGTCCCATCTCTGGGGCCTGAGTTCTTTTCTCAGCCAAACCGTGCTTTAGTTGTGGATGCATTTTAACTCTTTGATACGTCATCTTGGTGATTATTTCGGTTTCCTCTTTTTCTCTCTAATTACATTTTTAAATCAGCATTCTCTTCATCATCATATTGCTGCCCAACGCATTAAGTCGTCGATCATGGTATTCAATGGCCTAAGTTTTGAAGGCTCTATAACTACTACTTCTTCTTTTTTCTTTTATTCTGCCTTAGATTTCTTTCCGGCTCATTGAGTGGATTACAAAAGCAGTTTCAGTTCATCTCACTGCTCGGGAGCCGAGTCTTTAAATGAATACGAATCGACCAGTGCTGAACATATTTCTCATAGTTCATGTAACGAATATTGTTCGTATACATTTTTTATTAATGATGCTTTCTCGTAGAGCGGAAGCTCTTGGATTTTTTGTTTTGTTCTTCTTGGATATTTTGTATTATTTGACCAAGTTCATGATTATTTTGGATAGTCAGACATAAATGCACAACAAAAAAATGTAGGGACGTTTTACTGTTTTCCTCTGAAAATGCGCTAAAAGCAATTCCCGTGTGTCTTTTATCTACAATTGGTCGCCCGTTCACTTGCTTCTTCACTGTCTTTTCATCATTGCAACTATTATGATTATATTCTGGTTAGTTCATTCTGGAAGTGCAGTGTAGCAACGTTTTCGTATTGTTACTACGTGTTCGTGTCTTCATGGAATCTTGGATACAATTTATTTAGTATGTTTTTTTCGGTAAAGCTCAATAGAGGCAAATATATTTCTTCACATACCTTGGATAGAAATAATACAGATTATTAGGTTGCTATTTATATGGCATTCCGTGGCACTAACCTCCACATTAATGTATATTGTTTTTGGTTTGTTTGTTTGTCGCCTTTTACTTTTGAGAACGTTTGAATGATCTTCAGAATCTCAATTTTTTTGTAAAAAATTGTAGAATGTCCCATTTTACAAACTCTCTTCAAATGGTGTCATAATTAAATTTCAATTTTTTTGTATTATTTCTAGTCTGTTTTAATCTTCGTAATTATCTCGGGAAATTGAGAGATTTTCTACCTTGATGAGATTTTATTACATCTACTTTGTACTGCAGAAAAAGGTAATTCACCAACAATACGAAATATTTATGCTATTAATGTTTGGGTTGAAATCTCACAGATTTGATGGAAATTGAATAATGCTCATTAAAAATTAAAATGAAAATTTTTCCGTGTGTTTGATAGCATTTTTATTGAAATATATTTTTCGATTCTTTTTAAATATTGATTATTTGGTCTTACAAAAATAAGCTAAGTAAGGTGGCAACAGCTCACAGTTCTTCCGCAATAAATGAACTCCGATGTCTGGGGCGAGTTTGTAGTTAAAGGAATTAGGAGACGATTATTCGATATTAGGGTCATGAAAAGACAAAAAATAGTCCTAGCTACACCATGTTTGATAAAGTGAATGCATTCGTTAGGTTATCTGGAATATATGCGGCAGCTAACGGTGATGTATTCCGATTTGCTTCATACCACTCACCAGTGTCGCTTCTTCAATATGACAATACCTAACGCTGGATGAAGTGTGACAAACTGAATGCACTATGGGCTGTTTTGTCTGAACCACACACCTACAATCGTTAGGATTCTGCAACGTGCGTAAAACTAACACAAAACATGGGGTTCGGCTGGTGCACTGATGTTTGTCGATTTATGTAGTGGAAACGCGGACGTGGCACTGGCGCAGGCTAATCGCGTTTTTAAATTGGGGCAGTTCTTCCCCAAAAATAGGATCTTCAATAAAATTAAAAGCGTTTAATTTGAAACTGAAATGCCGCATATCGCTGGTAAATTGTGTTGTTAACTTGATTAAGCGATTCAAACATATTAAATAAAAACACACACACCGATGCCAGCGGTCAAGATTGAGCTGATAAAATTTTGATTCTTGATGGACGGTGGGACGTCATTCATTTTGCAAATGCAACCGGTGCTGGTACCAAAAGTCACTAATCGTCAATATATCTTACTATACACAAAGCCATGTTGGACCATTTTACTGTTGGTTTTTCTGGTGAATTGTAATTCAAAGACAAACGTAAGTTTTATATTCGTTTCTAAGTAGATATTTAAACAAATTTTGAATTAATGTTTGTATCATGGACTCGTTTTGTAATAATATTTGAAAGTTTAACTTTAGTAAATATTACATGCAAGTGATTAATTTTGATAATCATGGCAATTGTGTGGGATGTTGCTTTAACACAGAATATAAATTATTTATTTTTTAAGTTTTAAATATTGTGAATTTAAATTTGGCATTACTCACTTTTATCTCCGTAGAAGCTAAAATAATTTAACTAAAAAATCAAGTCAAGTCAATTTTTGAATTACTTTTTTTTTAAATTTTTTAAAAGAACAATATTACATCCAAAACAATCTACATGTCAGATACTTTTTTGCATTATACTAAAGTCATTTATCAATACTAATACTAAATGTTTAATTTACGATTTTCATCTTAGCCATGAAATGAGAATATATTTCGTTCAATCTCTTTATATCCGTGTTCGTTGAAACATCACATACATTAATCTCACTATCTTTCTCCTCTTACTACAAAGTTTGTTAAAGATCTCGATAAAATAAAATTGGTATTGACGCATACTACAATTCTTGTGAAAAAAACACGTTTTATCTCAATGATTGTTTTTGAGTGACAACAAAAAAGATCGAAGAAGTAAACAGTTGAACAATACCGTTATATACAACCAACAAGTCCTGTGCGTGATGTCATACGACAGCGCTCCTACAAACACAGCGCTGATCTATATTATATTTAACGCATGCTCACATTTTGTTTGACAAAAAACACGCTTTTTTATTTCGTGATCATTTGCACAAGAATGAATCGAAGACGTACAAAGAATATACAACCAAACATGTCGCCGTGTGTTGCGTATAAGGCCGTCTGCACCACCCGGCTGGGGGCTTCGGAGCCGCGTAAGGGCTCTGATTGGCGCAAAGAGCTCGAGAAGCTTTGGCTATCGCAAACACCGGGAACAAAGAGTCGCGGTTGCGGATCGGGCGAGAGGAGAGCGACGGCGAGCGGCTTTAACAAGCGGCCGCTTTCAGCGGACTGGTTTGTTGACGGAAGCCGATGAAGAGTTGGCGCCGAGTCCCGTGGCGGCCGCAGCGCCGGGAGCGGGGAGGGGGCGGGACGGGCCTAGGGGTGACGGGCGAGACGTGGGGCGGTGCTGAATGGCGAACAAGAGCGGGAGGCGCGAGCGGAGGCAGGAAGTCTCGGTGGGCGAGGACGGGGACGACGACCTGGAAATGAAGGGCGGAGACGTGGGCAGTGGTCGGGCGGGATAAAGCAGGGAGGCGAAGCGAAGCGGAAGCGCAGGCCTGGTTGGTGTGGGGCGTGAATGGTAGAGGAGGGGTTGGCCCAGGCGGCTGGGGTGGGACTGTGTGGGGGGTTTTTGAAACTGTCGGCAGTTCTGGGGGAGGCGGAATAGTGACGGGTGAGATGTGGGTGTGCTGATGGCGACAGCGGGGCGGGGAGGGCGTAGCGGGAGCGGGGGGCAAAAATCTCGTGGGTCCGGAGCGGGGAGGGGGGAAACTGAGGAGTCTGGGGCCGGCAAGTAAGTTCTGGGGGCGGTCGATCGAACAGCGCCGGGCGGGGGCAGGGGCGGGAAAGGGGGGAGCGCGGGCGGGGCGGACTTGCAAAGAGCCAGACGTTGCTCTCTCTCGTCGGGAGCGTTATGTAAATCGGTCGGTGTACCTCTGACGGCCGTTTACCAGTGGAATGGGGACTGAGAAATGATTGAAGGTTGGTAGAAGTTGGAGAGCAGAGAGCGGTCGGGAGAGGGTGAATTGAGAATAATTAGGCGGCGGCGGCCGAGGCGGCCGTGGACGCCGGCGGCAGCAGCAGCGACTGGTGCGAGTAGGCCACGAAGTAGATCCAGATGCGGTCGCGCGGGTGGCCCCGGAAGCGGTAGACGCACGTGCTGTTGGGCGCGAGGGTGTGGCGCGGGCTGAGCAGGTGGCCCGCGCGGCCCCGGCTGCGCGTCCACACGTCCTCGCTGTCCGGGCTGCTCGCGTTCACCCAGAACTCACACCTGCGCACGCCGCGCCGCTGGGTCAGGGCTTGCCTCGCCTGGCGCACCGCACGCGCGCCAAGCCCCCAAGCCCAGGGGGAAGAGGGAGTGGGGAAAGGAGAATGATAGAGGCGGCGAAAGAGAACGGTAAAGAAAGAAAGGCAGGGAAAGAGAGAAAGAGAGAGAGGGGAAGAGAGGGAGAGAGAGGAAGAGAAGGAGAGAGAGTAAGAGAGGGAGAGAGAGGAAGAGAGGGATAGAAAGGAAGAGAGAAAGGAAGAGAGAGAAAGGAAAAAAGAGAAAGGAAGAGGGACAGAAAGAAAGAGAGAAAAAGAGAAGACAGGCAGAGAAAGAAAAAAAGAGGAAATGGGTTTCAAAAATTGAGGAATATGTAGTTTAGGACAAAAAACAGGAATTAAGAGTTCACACATGCTTGAGGTATGTGACACTTCTATCATACTAAACTCAACATACACTTGCGTTTATGGACACCACCAGGCGAGTAAACCATTTCCAAACTATTATATTCGTCGTCGGCTCCTATTTTTTACGAATACTGTATTAGCTGTCCTTATCCCGGGGATTTCAAGTTTCGTAACCTTGATTCGAATTTAGAGATGTGGCATTCTCTCTCTTCCCCTTCACGCTTTCTGAGACACTGACTTGCGTACACCAGCAACGTACAGCTATGTGCGCCTTAGTGAGGCGCGTGAACACGGATGGGCAGGGCTGCCATAAATTTCGGGCGTGTAAGGACCCCTTTAGTATGATCTAACTCACATTTACATTGAGAGCTGTAATTATAATAGTTTGGGAATACATCTACCTAAGTACACTCGTACTGTCCCAGAATTGAAACACAACAAATACAATTAACATGCGACATAAAAATATGTTTCTAAATAAAACATACTTATTACGTGTTTCCGGGCTCGTCAACGGCTATGATCATAAGTCCCGTAAGTTTATAGCAAGTATTTGATCTCAGGAGAAGGACGTGTTTTTCTTAAGCTGGATGGTGAAATCAGGGGCCACCCTTGACGTCGGTTTGCAGGGTTCATTTCTACCATGTATTTTCCACCAGTGGGGGACCGCTCCAGCCACAACAAGCTCTAAGATCCCGATTGATTTTATATGTGTAGGGTAATGCAAGTAAGCGAAAGTGTGTAAGAGGATAGGTTAGAAAAAAGAATAGGAAAAAAGACCGCGCACGATCCTTGGCCCGTATGTTGGGGTACTGTTCTGAAATTCACCTGGTATTGATAAAAGAAACCACTAAAAACTGTCGATCACTTCAGCCGGCCGCTAGAATTCTCCTTCTGACAGCGGCTGCATTAGGCCGAGGTATTTAGCTGGTGTCGAAAGTCCTGCCACCGTCGGGACTCGCACCGTAGGCCCACCCGGTAAGAGGTTTGCAGTGATGTCAGCTGATGCCCTGAACCACATCAATTGGTCAAATAAAGCACATTCTCAAAAGCGTTTATTCACAATTAGGGGGTTGAAAACAATATTAATTTATAGTTCACGTCAGAAATACGAATTTCAACACATAAATATGCTTTGCAAAGCTTAAAATGTATTTTCTAAAATGTATTTTCTCCTTTCTTTCTACACAAAATAAACTAGTTTGAACTAATTGATAGTAAATCTACGTGGTGTATTTACTCAACATATTTAATAAGAATCCTAAAAATTAAGAAAATAATTGAAATTCTAATTTTGTAGTGTGCCTTACATATTTGCAAACTTATGAAATCCCGTAATTATTTTAAATGGATTGCGTTATTACAACTGACTACAATCGTTTTAATGAATATTCCATGAGCAAAATTGCCGCAAACAAATTCTGTACATGCATTAGATCCTGGAACTCATCCCATCTTCCGCTGCCGTTACGCCGCAGAAAGCTGCCTCCAAACATTCGCAACACCTTTCAAAAATACCTCGGGGATACTCGGGGTCGGGCCTCGCGGGCTGGCAAATGGAGCGAATGAAAACGTGCTCAGAATGCTCCAGAAATAACGAAGGAGCTTTTGTGCCGGACTGCGCAGTAAACCTTGGGGGACTCCACATCAGGGGAGTGAGGAAAGGGGGGGTTGCTTCGAGTTGGAAGACCCGGTTTTCGTCTCCTCACCGCCGCGACGCCTCGTCTCTTCGACTCAAGTTGGGTTTCGGTTTCATAATTAACGAATGTCTTAATTAATTCACGTTTCCTCAGTGTACTTCTGGCTCTTATTCGGTCACCCCCCCCCCGCGCGTCGACCTAAGGTCTGGTTATACGGCGGTGCGCTGGGAAAATTAAGTTTGCTCCTCTTCGTTAGTTTAGCCACATACTTTTAAATTCGTGAAAGACACTTGCAATTAAGTCGCTCTCCGAATTCCACGAATTATCATCGGTGAAGTGGCCAGATAAGGTTACGGGACGAGGTTAAGGGATCTCGCAGACGCAGCGAAATGTTTCTGGAAGAAAGTTGGAGGATAAGGAAGGAAAACGAGGAATGATGTAATGAAATTTCTTTCCGGGAACTGATGAATTAAATTACATTGATAAGGTAAAACGGAGTCATTAACAGCCATTTCATTCTATCGGATAACATTTTTCAGTAGTTCATGAATTGAAATGATTTCTGATATCCAATTAACAAGTATTTAGTTGATTAGTAGAAGATGCACGAACATTTTCTCACAATCGTAATTTCTACTAGCACTCTTAGGAAGTAATAATGTGAAGCTGAATACATGGTGCTTGGGGCCGGCAAAATTTTCAAGTGCATTAAGAAGTTGTTAACCTTCCTCATGTTATTACATAGGGTGTAAGGCAAATGCTAAGACGGATCTGCGTGGATTCACATACCAATATGAACAGCATTAATAAATAAAATATATGGTAAGAATATAAATTAATTTAACAGCCTGTATCTTTGTACATCTACGTGCCAGCTTCAATTCCAATCTAAGCATTGATTCTTTAAGTGAATGAGACTTTCTGCTTTTTATAATTACTGAAATTTTGAATATAATGAACGAAAATAACAAAATATTATTACTAATAGTAATAATAAATAATAAAAATACGGCGCACTTCCTATGCTTCTTAAGGAATAAGGCAATTTTGGGAACTAACAAAGTATCTCCTTTTAAAATATCTGAGGTACTTGAAAATTACATTCACATGGATTGTATTTAATAATAACAATAATAATAATAATAATAATAATAATAATAATGTCTTATTGCCGTATTTAAGGAGTATGGTATCTATGCTTTTTGTCATAACAATTCTCTAATATAAGAAAAATTGAACATTAATTATTGTGCTTTATATCCGACGATAAACGATCACAAACATCTACAGTGATCAATAAGGCTTATTTCATACGTGCATTCGACTTTCTCTCTGCGAAAAGCCGGCTTCCTTTCCACATTGCGACGAGGCGTATAAAGTATGGAGATGCCGACCCTGATAACGGAACGTGACACTCAACAAGTCTCGCATGGCCCCCAACGGAGGGCGCAGTCACGAGAGGGTTTCGCGGGCGACCGCCCCCTCGTGCCACCCCAGGCACAAACCCTCCTCCCCGCCCTTCACCCCGCCGCCCCTGGTCCAGAGCCCTTCGCTCCCCGCCCAATACACCACCCACGCCCCCCCGTTCCGGACTCTCCTGTCCCTTCCCCCGTCCTCCGGCGGGCGAACCGCCCGTCCTTCCACCCCAGACACAGCCCCGCCCACCGCCCGTCCCGCTCCCGACACACCCCCCTTCCCCCGCCCCGCAGCAGTCGCCCGTCGCCGCCTCCTGCAGGTCGTAAACCTACTTCCGGGCCAGGGGCCGTCGTCCGCCGACGCCGTCTCGCGGGACGGACCTCCCCGTCCCCGCTCGTCTCAGGTTCGACCCCGCCCGAGACGCCGCCGCCGCCGCCGCCGCTGCCGCCGCGGGTGACCTGCCACCTCAAAGGGGAGCGCTCGCTGCGGCTCTACCAGCGCCACTCTCCGCGGACGCGTGTAATCGTTTGTGCACTAACGCCGAATTGCCAATGGATTGGGGGGGATTAAATTAAAAACGGAAATATGAAAAGGGTAAAGCTCCAAAGGCATGATTTGATATTGAAGGAAAATAGTAGTTTACGAACAAATTATCGTAAGACATCTTGTGAAAATATGAGAGTGGATCATTATCCATTGAAACATTAAGACAAGTTTGATAATCAATCACGTATTGCGATGTTACTATACGAACATCGTACAACATTTTATAAAGGTCGTAAAAAATAAATGTACAATAATTTTCGGTAAAATTTAACTATTCATCCTGCAAAAGGTGACAGACATGTATTGATAGTTAATAGGAGGGCGTTGATTTTTAGAACATTTGTATGCTAATTATACTTATTACAAACCTGATTTTAGTGTTCATTAATAGACAATGGAGTTCTAGAACACTCGTACTCATTAATTACTGAATAAATATTCAGTAATTTACGCAGTAGAAGAGTACATAACATAAAACATAATTAAAACATATTTTATTAATGAATAGCTAGTATTATCTCTGAAGTTGAACTTATTTAATAAACAGTCTTCGTTTTCTACTTCCAAACATACTGTAGGTTTACGAATTTTATTCAAATTAAACCGTGTCAATAGTATCATCTGGAAAGCAAGCTGATGTTAGGAGCTTTTAATAATGATAAGAATGATGGTACGGGATTACATTATATTCAAAAGTGATGAAAATGATGAAGCGCTTTTTTTTGCTTTTTTTTGCGTTGAGCATTAAAGCAATATTTGGTTAAAGATGCTGTTGCTGCTTGCTTGAATTGTATTTCCTCTCAGTTGATACATTTATAAAATGAGAAGAATAATAATGCGTAAATGAAGCACGTGAAAGAATTTTTAAAACAAAGAAATAAAAGAACATTACTGTTTGTGAAACCATACAATAAAACTATTCTAATCGTTACTCGAAAGTACTATAGAAAAGCAATTGGCTAGTTACAATTCAACCACCTTAAGTCTAAA